CATCTTAAAAAAAATTGTAATTAAAATTGAACATAAAATAATATCAACAACGACAACAAAAGCGTAATATAGATAAGCATTAACTTTATTTTGGTGGCACATATAAAGAAAAAGAAGCTAAAGCAAATAATAATAAAATAGGGTATTAATAGTCAAAAAAATAAAAAATATGTAATTAGCGAACTAGAAAATTTGTGATATTTTGGGAACGGTATATGTAGATGTAATTTATGATATTTATTCGAAATTTTTATGGACCATTTTTTTAGAAGTTAGTAGCAAATAATTTGTCAAAGATTCAAAACATGCAGGCACCCCATTAAATTTTGTTTACAATTATGGAAATTATATTTAGATTTTATTTACCCTGGACAATATTTTTGTTTTTATTTTTCATAAAAAAAGAAAATTTTTTCTTTAAAGTGTGAAAACTTAGTGAATGTCTGTCTATACATTTTTCAATATCCATTTTTAAAAATATATAATTGTGTATGTAATAACTATACCGTTCCCAAAACTCATTTTGAATTGCATATACATATGTAAATGTTGTGGTTATTAGTGTAAGTATGGCAATAGGTGTGAGTGTGTGTAGTGTATGTGTATAGTATGTAAATGCTTCGTGGATAGTAATGTTTCGTGGATAGTAATTACCTAGCATATAATGTGTTGCCATTAAAGTTATGGTAGGTCTTCCTAACATATGACGCCAATTATTTGTTAGGAAAGCTAAATTGGTGGTGAAATTACTTGCAAGCAAGTCAGGATCTCGTGTAGTATAATATTCTTCATAATCGATATGCTGAATTAAAAATTAATATAGTTTATATAAATAAAATAAAAGTACTGATCAATCAATGATATGAATGGTTTCAAATTTTAGATTGGTAATTGGGGGATTTTATTTATTTTTTCTTTTTTGTAAAACAAAAAAAAAATAGTTAAGAATAGATTTTTTGTTTTAATTTGGGAATTTTAAATTTGTTGGTAAAAAATTATAAATAAAAGAACATTTTAGTTCAAAATCTGTGTTGTTCAAAAGATACTTGTGTGCTTTATGATAAAAAAAACTACAAAAATATGTATGTATATGTTAATGGGGACACAAAAGCAAGTTTTATAAAAGCCCAATTAAAATAGATAGATGATGTAGACAATTCCCAAAATCGAAATATTTTTTTTTGAAAATAAAAATCTTACAAAAAATGTATACAAATTACATATGAAATATAAATAATAATAATTAAAATAAATTAGTATATAGTAACGTTTTATTTATTATTATTCTTATTTTTTTACAAATCAAAATTCCCTGTTGAGGATATTCAAAGAATTTCGGAAAACTGGAAATTAACAAAAACTGATTATAATTTTTATAATTATTACTTGTATATATATATATATATATATATTACTTTAAAAATTAAAAAAAAATCATTCCCAAAAAAAATATTTCGATTTTGTGTTATAATTTACACACACATAAAAATTTGTGATTAATTTTTGTTTTATTTCGTAATGCCAAAACCAATTTTAATTATAAAGAAGAAGAACCCAATGTTTTTGTTTTAGATAACACAAAACTCGCTTTTGTATACAAAGAAACATAAATAAAATGCGAAAGAAACAGAAATCATACGGAGAATATTATTAAAAAAATTATATAAAACGCATCCCTTGCAAAAGATAATTAGACGAAAAGTTTTGTTTATATATATCATACAAATGCAAACATAATATAAAAGAAGAGGAAGATTTTTTTTGAAAAGAAAAACAAAAATAAATTTGCCAAACAGACCTAAATGAATCTTTTTCAAAACTAATGTAACCAAGGGACGTCCAAGCAAATCCCAAGCTGATTTAAGAAAATTTATTTCGCCTTTTAGAATATCAATCATTAATTCATAATCGGAGGCGATATAGAAACGTGATAAGTCGACAAACTAGAGGAGTTGATTTTGAGTGTGTTTGTGTTTTTTATATATATAGAAAAATAAATAAAAAAGTTAAATTAAAAAAAAAAAATTCAAATTGAAATAAAGGAAAAACAATTGAAATAAATAAATAAATTTTATATAAAAAAATGTATTTCAGCTTACCTGAGGTGTAAAGGCAAATATTCTATCTTTCAATGAATACAATTTACTTGTACTCAATATACCCACATCACGTGATTTACGTCCGGTTAAACCCAATTTACGATTTCTACCCAAATACGTGTACAAATGACTGAGAACACGAGCGGGTTGCACTTCAATGGGTGCAACCTCAGCAATGGTCTGTACATGCAAATCCGATTCCGCCAATTTATCACGAATTTCATTGTCTTCGGCAATAATGACCACCTGTACAACAACATCGGGTTTCTTTTGGGCACCCAAACGACGATTCAGCGGATCTAATTCACCAACAGCTAAAAAGCCCTGTAAAATAAATTGAATAGCAAATTATATTACTAATTTAAATATGTGTGTGTGTGTTTTTTGCAAGATTTACCTCTTGCAATAGTCGTCCCAATATAAACAACGATTGACCCCATAAAAATGGACAACGGCCAACAACTTCTCTGGGTGCCGAACCGGGATGTTTATATTCTTGCGAGACAGCATCTGGTGGCACAGCATAACTTTCGGGTATTAGAAGTATACCATCATCGCCACGTACCATGATTTGCTGTTGGATGAGAAATTTATAAAATAATTAAATTTAAAAAAAAAATTATTTAAAAATCCTCAACTAAAATAAAAAAATATTGTTTAAAAATTAAAATTTAAAAAAAATGTTTTGTGTAATAATCACCCCCAAAAATAGATTCTTTTAAAATCACGCCTACAATTAAAAAAGTATTTTTTTAAAAATCAAAGCCTAAAATTTTGAAAAAAATATTTATTAAAAATCCATGTCTAAAATGTTTGAAAAATCCACGCCTAAGATTTCTAAAAATTTGTTTTAAAAAAACACCCCTAAAATTTTGAAAAAAAAATTCTTTAAAAATCAACGCTTACATTTGCCAAAATTAAAAAAAATCCACCCTTTAAAATTTTGAAAAAAATATTCTTTAAAAAATCCACGGCTAACATTTCTTGTCAGCTTCAAAATATGGAAAATATGTCAAAACTCACCTCCAACCGATCTGCATACTCCTTAACAGACATTTTATCGTTTTGAAATGCATGAAACAATATCAAATAACAATAAAACAACGGCCATTCACATTCAATATTCTCGAACATGCGCAGCTCCCAACGTTCATAGTACAAACGGCTTGGATCCTCTTTCGGTGTACGATAACCATCCCGCAAAAAACGTTTGCAACCATATTTACCCTGTAAACGTTGCAGAATAGCATCTTTGGTATTGCGTATCAATTGTGGATCATCGACAGCAAATGCGGGAAATCCGATTACGCACAAAAGACCCGAATCCAATTCTTTACTATTCGATTCACGTGGCAACATTGATTGCAATACAGCCTGACATTTGTGGGCCTCATCGGCGAGGACATGTATTACACTGGCGGGACCACCACGAGCACCAAATAAATCCAACTCGTTCATTGCCTCCAGAGCAGCCTTAGCCATACCAATAGAACTGGCATTGAGTTCAGGTTCACCGTGATTTGTTTTATCACCCCGCTCCCATATGCCATAATCGGGGATGCAATAGGCCGATTCAATGTAAAATACTAAATTTTGTATAAAGGACACTTCGTCCAATGAGAAGACAATTTGCAGGCCGGAGGCAGTCATTTGGGCCAAAATCAAAAGATACAAAGAGACAGCATCGATTTGCAAATGACCCCATTCGGCGTCGCCAACAACAGGTTGACCATTTGTGCTGGAGTATTTGGCATGTAGCGAATCCAATGGATTCTGGGTCATTTTGAATTTTTCAACTTTATCCTTCTGATTCATCATGGCCATGAGGAGACCACGCATTAGCTTAACACAGCTCTGTTCCAGTTCATAGCATTTGGCACGATCTTCATCCTGATCGGCAATTTTCTTATAGGCCATTGAAAGACCCCACACGGCCAAGATGCAATAGACATTGTCTCTGATCCAAGCATGTGAATTTACATTGGATGCTGGAAACAATCCGGTGACTGGTTCCTGATGGGACATAATCAGGCGATGCACCACGCGCTGGTAATAGTCCAGGCGTACGCCTGAATTGCTGCGCGAACGCATATTGTCCGATGTCGTCGCTACCCACCGACCGACCGAATGTCTCGTTTAGCGAACTAAAATAGAAAAGAATTGCATTCATTAGCAGTGCATTGTTAAATTGATGACTGACTAGCCTATTAACGAGCAAGCAAACAACTTACATAAGTTTAGTAATATAGACGATCACTTCCACTACCAGCACCTCTTGTCTTGCGTTGCCTGTCTTTCCTTTACAAAACTATTCGAGTATCAATTCTATTCCTGATTCGTTTTCGAATTTTTATTTCCTCAATTTATTGTTCTAATTCATATCTTTTGGCATAACTTTTATCACACACGAATTGCCTGCACTTTGGCGAATATATTCCTGTAATTTTTTGTTGTTTTGGTATAAAAATATCTTGTAAAATTGTTTTTTTCTATTGGAACAATTGATTCGTCGTAAAATCACAAAAATTTTTCACAGTTTTTCATGTAATTAAATAAAATGTCAAATCAATGTCAAATTAATAAAGACATCAGAATTAAAAACGTTCCACAAGCTACGAATTAAGGGAGATAGAAGAAAATGTCTGATAAAGAATGAATTTCAAAACAAAATATTTGTAAAATGGTAATTGTTTACGAACGTGTGTGATGCATAATTGACGATTGACCACTTGTTGTTTAGAAAGAGATATGGAAGATAAGTGAGAAAATCAGTGAACGAAGTGAACGAATGTTGACATGACAACACAACGAAAGGAACTACAAAATGTCAGAGGAAAAATATACACTGAGAGAAAATGTGACTCATTAGTTAGGTTAGATATTAACAGTCGTTTTACTCGTAGACTAGTGAACCATTGTGTTCATCCTAAAAATGAACTAAGAATGAAAAAAGAAGAGGTAGAGTGAAAAAGGTATAGCATGAAAATTAGAGGGGTTTGAGGTTAGATTTGATAACTCAGCCATTATTATAACTGGTTTGTCTTGTCCCATTAATCAGGAAAAATATGAATTTTTGGCTTAAGTCTAGTTTAGGGGTTCCTTTGGGAACGTTTTGAAATCCGTATTTCCGGAGATGATTTTAAAAATTTACTGAGGCAATATGGGCATCAATTAAAAGCGTTCGAAGCCCTGATTACATAAACACTATTCAAATTAAAAGATGATTCGGTCGCGTAGCCGGAGTTGCCACCTGTCCATAAGAAAAATTATTAAATCCCCGTCGAAGTGGTGCGGACGACGACTTGATGTTGATTTCGGGAAAATTTCCGTCAACAATCTCGGAGCTTATGAAAATAGCCTTACTGATGCTGTCACGCTGGCGAACGGCCTTGGTGTAAACCCAACAAAGACGGAACTGGTAATGTTCACTAGGAATGGATGGAGTGCAGCTTCATCAATCACCCGAAGGAAAATACCTTGGCACAATCCTGGACTCTCGGGCGAAGAGAGGGCTGATTGCAGTGTATGCATGCAAGATCTCCATTGGGAAATGTTAGGGGCTAAAACTATGGACCATCCTTTCCTACAGTTCTGTTGTTTGGCGGAGCTGCCTGCGCCACAAGTTGACATCCAGCAAACTATATAAAGTAAAAAGTGCCGTCTTGATTTTAATAACAGGAGCCACGAGAAGCACCCCGCAAGCAGCTTTGAGTGCAATGCTGAATTTAAGGCCTCTGGATCTTAGCATTATGTGTCAGGCAGCGCGTAGTGCCCTAAGGCTGCATGAACAAAATCTTTGGCGAAGTTGTACCTTTGGGCATGGTTGCATCTTGAACGAACCAGGTATGACATTGAACCAACGCGTAAAACTAAGCGACTATATATCACTAGTCCTGAGATTTGACAATGTAGATGTCGTTATTCCTAGTGGAAACGACTAGGACCGGAGTAACCCTCCTCTGGACGGTCTGGCTTTCTATACAGACGGATCCAAGGTAGAAGAAGGTACAGGGGCTGGCGTCTACTGTGAAAGGCTAGGCCTTGAGCTTACATATAAGATGGAAAGCAACTGCAGTGTATTCCAAGAGAAAATATTCGCGATTTGGAAGGCAGCGGAATTGATAAAAAGTCTGGATGCAGAGATCTCTTAACCGTTGACTATCTTAGTGGATAGTCAAGCGTCTCTTAAAGCCTCATATCTGAGGCCGTCCGCAAGTGTTGAAAAGTTTCGGAAGACCTTACATACAGTTATAGGCTGTTTTGGGTACCAAGACACCGTGATATCATTGGTAATGAAAGAGCAGACGAATTAGCTAGATGAGGATCTCAACATACAGTTGATGACTGTGTCGCTGCCCAGTCCTGGCCTTCAGACTAGTGGATGCTCACTTTCCACCGAGTCTTTGTTTCTTCTCAACAACGTAACCTGATCTAATCATTTGAAACCTAAAGTGGTTGGAAAAGTGCAACCTTGACACGTACAGTTATACAGTTATAGGCTGTTTTGGGTACCAAGACACCGTGATATCATTGGTAATGAAAGAGCAGACGAATTAGCTAGATGAGGATCTCAACATACAGTTGATGACTGTGTCGCTGCCTAGTCCTGGCCTTCAGACTAGTGGATGCTCACTTTCCACCGAGTCTTTGTTTCTTCTCAACAACGTAACCTGATCTAATCATTTGAAACCTAAAGTGGTTGGAAAAGTGCAACCTTGACACGTAATATATTTTCTGTTTGATCTCTATAGCCATCGATACAATCTCACATCCTCACCTAACCTGATGATCATTAGCAAAGTGCGGCTTTTTGAGAATGAAAACTAACATAACCTCCTTCCGCATACTTAGTATGAAAAAACATGGACCGGTATTGATAATTATACCCTCAGTCTTATGACTAATAAGGGTGTATACACTCTCGAAGGGAATAATCGATTTCTTCTAAACTTTGCACATCTTAATATTTCTTACAAACTTAGTTTAAGTTCGAAGGTGGGGATTATCGGTCCTTCTGGTACTTCCCCCACAAATGGTAAAAATTGTGCTAAAATTAATTATATAATAACATTCAAACTGGCTATCCGATTTTTACGAATCTTTGTACAATTTTTGTCAAGCCTAGACCAAGTAGGAAGATGGGACCCATTGGTCTACTCCTTCTGGTCCCTCCCCCCCACAAAGGGTCAAAATTTTCAGTATTTATAAATCAAATATCAGGGCAATTCAATGTCAGATTTGAACCAAATTTTGTACAACCTAATACCATGTGGTATCTCCCACACAAATGGTCAACATTTTCAATATTTATAAATCCAATATCAGGCGAATGAAATGTCCGATTTGAACCAAATTTTGCACAAACTATTATCTTTACCAAGCCTAGATCAAGCCCGAATGTGAGTCCCGTCTGCCCTCCTCCTCTGGTACTTCCTATAAAAAGGGTCAATTTTACATATTTTATCAACATTAAATCCTAAACATCTTTAATTAAACATATATCTTATATAAAACGAATAATAAAACCTGTGTATTACTCCGAATACCTCCTCCAAAAGCCATAGGGTGAGGGTATATATCTGTCGGCAACAACGACTGACACTTTTTTACTTGTTTTCGGTATGAAAATGTCAAATTAGACCCAATTTTGTTAAAGACGTATCAGTAGTTCTCAAAATACCCAAAATTGAGGCTACCATTACATGGACTGCTATAGACCTTCGAACTTAAACAGCCAGCAGAAGTGCAGACCATATTCCAATTTGCTCAATTTCATTTCTGTTGGAAGATATCTTGATTACAACAGTTGGATCAGAGTAGTTACAAATGGAATACATTTTATAAATGCCAAAATTTTTATTACGATTACAATTTTTCTTTATAAATTTGAAAAAATTTAAAAATTAATAGAATCTTTCAGTCGGGGAACAAACTAGTTATGATGATATGTATATTGTGTAAACGTCGTGATCACATTTCTCCTTACGTTAAAGAGTTCCTCGGTTGTACCTTTGAAAGTTTTGTGAGTTTAAGGTCAATGTTGTTGTTCTATAAGGTATTTAAGTTGCAGACTCCTTCCTCTGTAGTTGATTTGTTTATGTTTTCTAGATCTGTTAGAAACATACAAATACTTGTTCCGCGTTTGTGTCCTTTATTGGAAAAAGCCTTTTTTGTACGAATTTCTAGAATTTTTAACACCTTACCGCCTTCTCTTAAAACATTTAACTCTTCCTTAAAATGTTATCGAACTCATTTATACGATTACTTCAACCTCAATTCATCTTAAATTCATAGGTTTTGCTTATTTGTTTGTGTTTTTATTGCATAACTGATTTCAACATTTAAATAAATTTAACTATAATATATTATATTTTTTTTTATTGATAATTGTGATATAATAATAAGATATTTGAACCTGTAAATTTAATTTAGTGGTTGAGAGTAGATATAATATTGAAGTCCTTTGCCCTATGTGATAGGTCGCTGCATCAAATAATGGAATAATAATAATAAAAATGTTTTTGAAGTACAATGGTTCTGAAACCCTCCAACTGAATAGTCGTTAAGATAACATTAAGCTAATACACTGTTAGTTTTAAGCTTTTGGAGTAGTTTATATTTTGTTGTTTTTTGAATCGCTTTTGGCCCTTTGGGCTAGATTCTCGTTTATAAAATAAATTGAAATTGAAAAAGTAAACGAACAGATCTATTAACGATAGGATTGAAACCAACAAAAAATATCGAACTATCGATCGTTTTGCCAACACTAGTTGTTAGTTTTTGATAGAGTTGGGCAATCTAGTTCACGTAGCGGATCGATCATTCTCGTTTCTTTTTTAAAAAGGAACTAGTTCCTTAAAATTGTTCCTTTGAACTATGTAATTACTTCATAATTAAGAGTCGAACCACGAATGAGAGAGGGAACAACGCTCGTCTGTACATGGCATTAGACTTTTCAATACAAAAAGTCGATTAATCGAAAGTCGATTTACTTATCCCTAATCATAATTTGCCTAAACCTCATTCGTAAACAACACGGTTTCCATTTAGTCTCTATCCCACCTCATTCGTAAACTTTCGGTTATACCATTTTGA